GTATCCGTTGCTGAAAAAAGCTTCGTTGAAGTACAACACTCCACTTACTTCGTCGGCACCGGTCGAAAGATTGTTTTCTTTCGCTGGTATAATAAATAGTCCACGTCGACACGCTCTTTCTGATTTTAGTTTTGAAAAATTAGTATTGTTAAAGGCTAATATTGAGTACAATTATTGAATCTATGTTTGTTTTAGTATATATTGTAAATTTTCACCACCGCGATCTGGCTGTTTTTTTTTTGCCCTTGTTACTTGTGTAAAAATCTGTATTTTGTTAATATTGAAGTTTTCTTATTTCGATTAATATTTTGATTCATATGTATGTATGCATGTATGTATAGACTGCAGCGGTAAGCTGTAAATTGTTTTTTTTTCTCATTCAAATCCACTTTATAAAGTAACTGGCAGTGATTTTTATTTATATTTAATAAAAGTAATCCTTATCACCGATTACAGTAATCCTTATAACAGAAAATACAGGATTACAATTAAAGTAATCGTTCATCGAACGAACTTGGATTACGATTACAGTAATCGTAATTTTAACTTTTTTTAAATTACGATTACTGTAATCGTAATCTAAGTTCGTTCGATGAATCGTAATCTTGTTTTTTTAGCTTGTTGGGATTACTGCAATCCTAATCGTTTAGTAATCGAATCCTTATCGCCCAGCTCTGCTACCTATGCATGCCATGTTCCCGCAAATGCACTTTGCAATGGGGTGCTTTCGTACTCTTGCAAATTTGGAATAGTATTTTTGCATTTCATGCTTTACGTGCAAAGTGCAAGACTTCGAGAATAAAGTATACTAGTGTTCGCCCAGCGGTTGAAATTCAACCGTTAAAATTAAGGATAGTTTATGTGAGTTGAGCTGAGCTGAAATAACATTGCTTGGAATGGGTTAAGTGGAGCGGAGTTTAGCTTAGTACTTAGCATAACATAACATACCATAACATAAGATTAAATAACTTAACATATGCTGCATAACACACCACAATATAACATCGCACATTCTTCAGTTGTATTTCCTTTTTATCCCTATCACTTTCTTCCTCTCTATCGCTTTTAATGTTTATGTTTATCTTCACCTTCATGTTCATGTTCATATTAGTTGGAAGTCAGATGACTTTTTTCTGTATTGTAATTTATTCTGATTACCAGTTAATAATATAGTTAATCAGGAACCATAGACGTAAATAATAGATTTACTGCGGAAAGGCGGGACTCCGGGAAAAATGGCAAAAAATTTTGGAGTTTGCCACTTGAAAATGTTAAGAATGAGAAATAATATAGGCTAAAGTGTTATTAAGGACAGAGAAAGTCTGCCAAAAAATATTACGGTCCGATATCTTGTGAACTTAGTAGAAAGTAGCGCTGCAGCCACTGTTACAGAAGCGCTTAAGGTATTAAAATTGAAAGCAAATCAGTAGGCAGCGCGGCGAAGAATTGTCAAATTGAACGCAAAGGCATAATAAAAGAAGAAAAAACCTTTTTAATCATAATACATGTGCGGGAGTGGTAGCATTTTGCCGGATCGCACGAAAACCGGACCGTTGACTATTGGGATATGTTAGGCCTTTCAGAATGCAATAAAAAACACATTTGATTTAAGGTTAGTTGGTCTTGCAAGACTAAATTAATCGCTTTCAATCAGATGGCCGGGCATGGTATTGGATCAAAGACCCAAATTAAGCGTAAGCGCATCATATAAGGCAAACTGTGAATCACAGTGGCCGGTCAATAATAGTTTGGGGTTGTATTTCAAAAATGTTGTTGGTCCATTAGTACGCATTATGCGTAACAGTATAGGGGTATTCTCTGAGTCTTGCAAAGCCCTTGCACGGTGCACGGATTGCACGGTTTGCAAAGCTGTCCCATACGAAAATCGGTTTTCACCGTGCAATCCGTGCAATCTGTGCACCATGCAAGGGCTTTGCAAGACTCAGAGAATACCCCTTATCTGTTCATATTTCAACAAAATGAGAGGTTCTGCTGAAAGATAACCCAAAACATACTGCATATGTTCGCAAAGACTGGATGCAAAAGCAAAAATTTGCTAATTTGAAATGACCTCCTCAATCCGCGGATATGAATCTCGAGGAAAATTTGCGAAATCAACTAAAAGCGCAGCTTACTAAGTCCGTCCAATGGAGTACATGAGGTGTGAAAGCAAACCAAGGATATATGCGACGCTATACCTCCAGAATTTTTACAGAGATACAAATAAGGTATGCCAAATTGCATCCAAGAACTAAAAAAAAACAAAAGTATACTGAACATTGTGTTAACAATTCTTTTTTTTGGTGAAAATTGTCAAAAAGTTATTAAAAATATATAAGTGCAAAACTGTAACATACGCCTTAATTTATATTTTTGTCTGCTGGTTCTATTATTGTTGTTGGATTGACATTCGTTATGAGAGGGGAAGTACAGGTGTACCAATAAGAATATACAACAAAACTATGAATGTCGTTAGAGCTTGGAAAGATAGCGGTGGCTGAAATAAAAAGTGTTACACCATGTTACAGTTTTGCTCGTCACTGTACGTATTCACCCCCACCATTGTTATTAGGTTAGGTAGTTCAATTTTCCTTCCTCATTGTCTTGATATTTAGGTTTATTTACTTTTATTCTAATCTTTGCCTTTATCCCTTTCTTCTTCTACATATTCAACTAAGAAGGTATTCTTCCTTGCACGAATCTTAGTCTTCATAAAGCTGATTCCTAAACTGCTGTTTAGCAGATTTCTTTAATTCAGTATCAATATTAAAGCATACATTTAGGAGGCATTTCCACCCCTAACCATGTACATGTACGGCATTAGTATTGGTGCCACTTTTGAATTGATTTTTTCGTTTTATGTTAAACCAATTGTCTACACAACAGCATCAAAATACCTTTCTAATGATACATAATTGTTTACACATTTGTGGTATAGTTTAGCCGTAAAAGGGATGTAAAGAAAACATGATTGCTTATTTGTATATATGATAAGATACCAAAAACCAAAAACATATGTGACGAGTTTAGGTGTGGTGAATTTAATTGTGGTGAGTTGAGGTGTGGTGAATTAAGGTGTGGTGAATTTAGGTGTGGGGAGTTAAGGTGTGGTGAGTTGAGGTGTGGTGAGTTAAGGTATGGTGAGAAAGTTGAGGTGTGGTGGATTTAGGTGTAAGGAGTTGAGGTGTGGCGAATTCAGGTGTGGTGAATTCAGGTCTGGGGAGTGAAGTAAAGGGGGACTTAGATGTGGGGAGTTAAGGAGTGGTGACTTAATGTGTGGTGAGCTCAGGTGGAGTAAGCTTTTAAGCGAAGGTGAGATGAGGTGAGTTAAGTTAAGTTAAGGGGTTATGATCTTTATCCTTCATCTTCATCTTCATCTTCATCTTCACCTTCATCTTCATCTTCGTCTTCATCTTCGTCTTCATCTTCGTCTTCATCTTCATCTCCATCTTCATCTTCATCTGCATCTTCACCTTCATCTTCATCTTCATCTTCATCTTCATCTTCATCTTCATCTTCATCTTCATCTATCTTTATCCTCTTCTCTATTTTTATCTTTTCCTTTATCCTGATCTAAATATGCCCATTCTTTTCTTCATTTCCATATTCACCCCCACCATTGTTATTAGGTTAGGTATTTAAATTTTCCTTCCTCTTTAGCATTATATTTAGGTTTCTTTACTTTTATTTTAATTTCTGTATTTATCCCTTTCTTCTTCTCCATACTCAACTTTACTTTCTTCCTTGTTTGAGTCTAATCTATTCATGTACATACATACATACATCTTATTCCTAAACTGCTTAGCACGTTTCTGTAATTCAGTATCAATATTAAAGCATACATTTTGGGGACATTTCCGCCCCATCCATGTACATGTATGGCATTGGTATTGGTGTGACTTATGAATTGATTTTTTCGCTCTATTTTAAACCAATTTGAAATTTTAAAAATTGCCTGCACATCAGCATCAAAATACCTTTCTAATGATATATAATTGTTTATACCTTAGAAGTATAGTTTAGCCGTAAAAGGGGTGTAAAGGAAACATGATTGCCTATTTATATAATTGATATAATCATATAAATATAAATAATGAAATAAAATAAATAAATCCATATGGCGTTATTTCCTATAGCCTTATAGCACGGCGCCAAATTAGTGCTGCTACTTCAAATATGTAATGAAGTTTAAAAATATATGTGTACATATTTATTTTGAAACGAATTTCCATCATCTCCTATCAATTTCGGTTTGAAGATAAACTGGTTTCGGCTTTGTGCCATCTTCAGTCTCTTTTTCCGTTGCTCTCAACTTCTCTCTGCGTTGGATTTGATTATGTTTGTATTATGTCCTGTAAGTATGTAACTTTATGCACAATAATAAAAGAATTTAGGGTAAATGAATTAATGCTGATAGCCTATTGAATAACGATTATACAAACCGTACGCCTAGCAGTAATAAAACAATGTATATTCAAGTTAACTACAATTTATTTAAAGCACTTTTAAATCGGCCCGTCGTTCCAACACTTCTACACAAGTTTCGTATTTGAAGTTGACGACGCCTATCTCCTTCAGGGCGCAGAGTTTTCGCTCCGATGCAGAGTCGGATGTTAGTGTTTCATGTAACAACCATGCA